CGTAGATATTTCGCTGGCAAGTTTGAGCGAGGGATGTGATGATACTTCGCTGGCAGTTTTAACCAGCGGGGTGAGGAGATCTCGCTGGCAGTTTTACGCGAGGGGTGTGGGGGATATTTCGCTGGCAGTTTCAGGTCAGGGGGTGGGGATATTTCGCTGGCAGTTGTAGGCCAGGGTGTGATAATATTTCGCTGGAAGTTTTAAGCGAGGGGTGTTTGGATATTCCGCTGGCAATTTCAAGTCAGGGGGTGTGAGGATATCTCGCTGGCAGTTTTAGGCCAGGAGGTGAGGATATCTTGCTGGCAGTCTTAGGCCAGGGGGGTGAGGATACTTCGCTGGCAGTTTTAAGTCAGGGGTGTGAGGATATTTCGCTGGCAGTTTTAAGCCAGGGCGGTGACGGTACTTTCCAGACGTAGCTAAGCAGCACCATGTGCCACGCACGGGCGGTCAGGAGTGATCGGCGGATTCGTTAGTCTGGGGTTCGGGGCGCATCATGCAGCCACAGCGTTGGAGTATGGATCACGTTCGACATTGGGCTGAGGCTCAATTCGTTGGTCTGGGGTCTGGGGCGCATCATGCAGCCACATCGTTGGAATATGGATCGCGTTCGACATTGGATGCTGATGAAATCCACCCCTTCCTTGTCCACTTGTACTGTCATGCACTGTTGCTTGCTTGATTGCTGCCGCAGCCCATTTCAGCCAAAAACATCTTCATGGTAGCGTAAGCGTGTAGATGGTTAGGGGCCACGGCAATCCTGCGTGAGCGGGTCGGAGTGTGCATTGCAGCGGCGGGCGCGGGTAGCTCCGCACCGCCAACATCAGGCTTAGTCGGAGGAGGGGCTCTCGCGGGCAGCTCCGCGATTGCCTCGAATCAAGTGCCCAAGGAGGGGTTAAGTTCAGCCGTCGGTATTGTTTAAGGGGCTTGGGTCGAAACATAATGGAGCATCATATTCAGCAGTTATCGGAACAGCTGCAGGCCATGACAGCGCAAATGGCTGCACTGCAAAATCAGAATCAGCAGCTGCAGCAGGCACAGCAAGCGAGAGCTTCCAGTGACGATGTTGTGGGCCGTTTGGTGTCTGCACTTGAGCGCCAGACGGAGCTCATGGCTAGACGGTCGGCACCATCCCTTGTCGACGTTAAGGCCATCGGAAAGCCCTTTGTCTTTGCATCAGACGAAAACAAGTTCACAGAGTGGGCGAAAAAGGTTGAAGAGTATTTGAGTGCAGTTGATCCTGCTTTGGCACGTGTCCTGGAGTACAGCCTTGAACAAGATGACCCAGTCAATAAAGATGCACTTGATGCAGTGTTCTCTCTCGAGGGTGATGATGACGAAGTCCCGGGTCTAGCCTCGTATATTTCTCAAGTGAAGTCAGTGTTGAGCAGCTTGTGTGAAGGTGAAGCATGGACGATCATTCAGAGCACGAAAAATGGCTTTGAGGCATGGCGGTTATTACACCGTCGTTTCGACAGCACCCACGGTGGTCGTAGGAGGACTCTCTTGCGTGCCATCCTGGCACCTCCACGCGTGAAGGTGGAAGAGCTGGGCACTGCAGTCCCGACCTGGGAGGCGATGGTGTCTCGTTACAATAGAAAGAGCCAGCAATTAGGACAACCGCCAATAGCAGACGATTTTCGATGTTCCGCTGTGGAGGCCATGGTTCCGGAGGAACTTGAAACTCATCTACAAGTGAATGCCGCGAGACTCAAAACGTATCCGTCCATGAGGGCGGAAATTATGCAGTTCTTCGAAACCCGCACTGGAAAGAGTATGAAATTGACCGTTCGCACTGAAATGCAAGCAGCTCGGAACACTCACACGGCAGCGGTCAGCCCCGCGCCGATGGATGTCGACACTTTGGAAAAGGCGATTGGAAAAGCAGGGCAAGCAAAGGCAAATATGGAAAAGGGAAGGACAGTGGAGGTAAAGGCAGCGGCAAAGGTAAAGACAAAACGAATACAAACAAAGGCCAGAGGTTCGAAGGTTATTGCGATAACTGTGGAAAATGGGGGCACAAAAAGGCCGACTGCTGGAGTGCACCTAGCAGTCAAGCGTCGGCGATTCCGAAAGGAAAGGGCAAGGAAAAAGGAAAGGGCAAGAAAGGTGCAAATTCTCTTGACGAGGCCGACGCACCCGCAGCAGCAGCGGGAGAGGAGTTCGAGCAGAGTGCACTGGACATGGGTGCTCTTGACAGCGCTGCGCGGGTACCCCCGCTGGTGTGTGGTCTGGAAGAGCATCTTGTCAATGGGTATCTTAAGTTCAACTTAGATACAGGAGCAGCGGTAACAGCCCTTCCTAAAGCGTGGTTCCCAGGAAAGGAGGATGCCGACGATTCGCACCGAGGTTACCTCACGGCGTCCGGGGAGCGCATCGGTGATTACGGTGGGAGGCGGCTGGTCTGTGTCGACGAAAACGATAAATCACGTAAGATCACAGGACGGGTGACCGACGTACATAAGATTCTTGCGTCGGCATCCCAGGTGAGCGGTGCAGGCCAGTTATTGTGGATAGAGAAGGACGGAGGGTACGTCATCCCTGAGCAGAGTTCGATCGGCCGTGAGTTGAAGAAGGCCTTAGACAGGCTCAAACGAAAATTCGGTGAAGACATGTTACTTCCCGTGTACCAGGAAAAAGGGGTATACAACTTTTATCTACAGCCACGCTTGCAGGAGGAAGTTTCCAGTCTGAGGTCTCCGAGCCCAGGGGTGCGGGTAGCTCCGTCCCCGGGCGAGCGGCATGCAAGTCTGTAAGCCCGCTGGAAGGCTCCGCGGGCAGCCCCGCGGAAGCCGGACCGGCCGGAGCGCAGGCTCCGGCGCAGGAGGATGCGGCGATGGACGCCGAGGAGGTGGGAGAAGAGGAGCAGGCGAACCGGCGAAGACCGGACCCTCGCCTGCCGTCTGCTCAAGAGGTCGCAGACCACTATGCCCAAGGCCATGTTCAACACAGGAGCTGGTGCAGGCACTGTGCGAATGCTCGGGGCATCGGGGAACAGCACAAACCCTTCGAGGAAGATGATAACGCAGTTCCATTGGTTGCTGCGGATTACGGCTATATGAATGACGAGGTCGACGCTAATACCTTGCCCACGTTAGTTTTGAAAGATAAGAAGACTAAGATTTACGCCGCTAGCGCCATACCCAAAAAGGGAGTGGAACCATATAGTGTGCGCTTCTATGCCGGAGCTCTGAAGGAGCTCGGTTGGAAGAAATGCATTTTGCAATCGGACGGTGAGCCTAGCCTAGTGGCTCTTAAACAAGCGGCATCGGACGCATTGCCTGCTATAGAGTGCATTCCACGTGAGAGCCCCGTGGGGGGTCACGCTGCGAATGGGGATGCAGAGTCAGCGGTGCGCGAGGTCAAGAGGACCATGCGCGCCTTGAAAGAAGCCTTTGAGGAACGATTGCAGCAGCAGGTGGTCACGAGCCATCCTATCTGGACTTGGTTGCCCCGGCATGCCGCATCGTGCATTTCTCGTTTCAGGGTAGGCCCAGACGGCAAAACCGGTGAGCAGCGCAGGACAGGCCGTAAATGGCAGAAAAGTTTAGTCGAGTTTGGCGAACGGGTGTATGTGAGACCCGCGCAGGAGGAACCTAGGAGCGGGTATGCCCCGAAAATGATTGAGGGCCGGTACGCAGGCCATCGCAGTCGCACTGGGTCGATCTTGGTGATGACTGACCAGGGCGTTATACGGGGTAAGGCCTTCAGTAAAATGAGCGCGGAAGAGCGCTGGAAACCAGAAGGCATAGAAAAGTTGATTGGCACGCCCTGGGAGATGGTTCCAGGCCGCACGGGTAGATATTCAGGCCAACGGGAGTTGGGCTCCCGCCTGGCCCCTCCAGCGCCGCCTGCGCCGCTTCAGCCTGTCGCAGGGCGTTCAGGCGCTGGTGGAAGCAAGCCTGGGCCTAGGAGGTTGTATGTGCTCCGGAGGGATATAGAAGCCTACGGGGTTGCGCCAGGTTGTGCGGCGTGCGCGAAAATCTTGTTTGGTGAGGAGCCCAATCAAGGCCACTCCCAAGAGTGCAGGATGCGCATGGCTGAGCTGATCGCAGGGGACGACAGCCAGAGGCACCGCGTGGGAGCGGCTGAATCAAGGGGTGCGGCTGCGGCCGTGCCTGGAGGGAGTGCGGAGTCTGCGGGTAGCCCCGCGGCTCCCGAGGCAAGAGGCAGTGCGGGGCCGGCGGGGAGCTCCGCGGCACCGGCATCAGGGGGCGCAGCTGAGCGAGAGGCGCTAGCTGCGCGATCAGCGCCGGCTGCGGGCAGCACCGCGCCGGTAGCTGAGGGGATATCGGCGTCGTCGATTCCGATCCTCCCGCCAGGGTCAGAGGACGCTCGGCCCGTGGCCAAAAGGAGAGTGGACTCAGTCCAGAGAACGGTGGAGAAGCAGAGAATGCTTAAGAGGCAGACGGTTGACGATGACGTTCGTCTACCACCAGCCCTTGAGAGGCAGATGGCGGCGGACGCGTCTGTTGCGCCGGCCGCAGAAGCAGCGGCAGCAGGACAGCAGGGCGCGGGCAGCTCCGCGCCTGCAGAAGTAGGCGGCCCAGAGGGTAACTCTCAAGGGTCCGCCCCGGCCGGGATGGATGTCAACGGCATAGAGCTTGGCAGTCTAGATCTCGGAGAATATTCGGCAGGTAAAGAGGGCCTTCGAGGATTGTATCGTGGACGAATTATGCGAGCGTTTGATTGTGCTGGAGTTGACCTGTCGCCGAAGGAACTGGAAGGAGTTGCGAAACTACCGATGGACCTCGGAGCAGTGGACGTAAGTGATGTGTTTGCCGCACAGACATTGCGGCTTGGCGGGGGCCATGGGACTGAAGCCGGGAGTTGTTGCAGATTTAGGGTCTTGCAGACCAAACGGGCAGCCCTGGGATTTTACCAGAGATAGCGATGTAGCTGAGTGGTTTGAGACGCTGGAAAAAGAAGATCCCTACATCTTGATCGGATCGCCCCCATGCGTTATTGATCGTATATCCAATGCCGAAGGTGACCACAAGCAGATGGCGAAAGCGTTGGACGTTGCTCGACGTTACTTGTGGGTTGCTTGCGAGAGCTACAAGAGCCAGTTAAGGCGCGGTAGATACTTTCTCCATGAGCACCCGTGTGGGGCGTCAAGTTGGGCGGAAACCAGCGTTATTTATATATATGTGTATATATATATATATATACATATATATATATATATATATATTGGCAATGGATGGCGTTTTTCGTGCCCAGGGCCCGATGTGCAAATCGGATATAGTTTTACTAGCTGCCCCAGGTCCCGACGCCGAGGTCGCAGGCCACGTCAGGAAAACGGCATGCTTTATGACCAACAACGAAGGTTTAGCTTTTGAGTTAAACGCAAATCATTTGAAGAAACCGCCGAGCGGGCAGCCCCGCCGCGAGGAACACAGATATTTGAAACGCATGGGAGTTCTAGTCTACAGAGCTCGGGTCCACCCTCCTGGACTTGTGAAGGGCGTTCTGAAAGCAGTGAAAAGGAGCATGAGACGAGACGGGCATCCGTCAGCGCTCGGTGAAAACGCTGCCGGGCCAGCCCCGGTCACCCCTGACACTTTCGAGGCGCGCCGGGAGTTCTTGGACGATCCTGAAATGTATTGGGATGATGTCAACGGCGGCTGGTTAGAGCCGGCGTTGGTCAGAGAGGCCAGGAGGGCCGAAGTAGAGTGGTTACATAAGCAGGAAGTTTATGAGGGGAGGGCCATAGATGAATGTTTGAACGTAACAAGCGAACGACCAATAAAGTTGTTGTGGGTTGACACAAACACAGGCGACAGTGTCCATAAGAATTATAGAAGTCGAATTGTCGTGCGTGAAAAGAGAGGGAAAGGAGAGGAAGGACGCGCCTTACCTTCTGCGTTGCTTTTCTCGGCCATGCCCCCCCTGGAGGCCGTAAAGATCCTCTCAGCACGAATGGTGCAGACCCGGATTAGCACGAGAGGGAAATCGTTGAGCATGCGATTCTTCGACAGCGCACTTTTACGGCAAAGCTGAACGGTCGGTGTACATAGAGTTGCCGGAAACTGAACAGGATGGGGTCCACTGTGGTATCCTTAAGAAGTCGATGTACGGAACACAGGTGCCTCGGCGATTTGGCAACGAGATTACACAGCAGTTCTGCAGGACGACAATCACGCAGCAGGCATAGCTAACCCAGCGTTGTTTTACAAGCAGGAAGATGATTGCCGTTCGCTTGTCCACGGCGAGGACTTTTGCGCACTCGGGGGCGATGATGCTTAGAATCGCCTCGAACAGGTTTTGCGCTCCAAGTATGATCTGAAGGTGACTGGTCAGCTAAGGCTCGGCACCGGGGAGGGCCAGGAAGTGGTCTTCCTTAACCGTGTGCTCAGGATCGCCGGACCTCCAGGGGAGGGCGATTTTGAAGTTGAAGCGGACCCAGGGCACGCCGAGATGATCGTTCAGGATCTCGGCCTGGCATGTTCGAGCGCTAAGTCGCTGGACACGCCCGGGCTGGAGAAGGAGGAGGCAGAGAAGGAGCAGCGAGATGCATCACCGCCGTTGGTAGGTGACGCCATTAAGCTGTACAGGAGTGCCACGATGAGAGCCGCCTATCTGGCGCCCGACCGGGCAGATCTAGGAGACGCAGTCAAGAACCTTGCGAAATACATGCAAGCACCAAAGCAGTGTGACATGTCAAGGTTGAAGAGACTCGGGAGGTACCTCAAAGGGAGGCCTCGGGCGGTCCAGCGTTTCAGGCGGAATAGGAAGATTTCGCCAGATGATCCTGTCAACGTCGTTGTGATGGTTGACAGCGATAATGCCGGGGACAAGGTGACGAGACGCTCAATTGTGGGCACAGTCACTTTTGTGAACGGCCACTGTGTTCAGCATTCGTGCAATCTTTTGCAGGTGATTGGCTTGTCGAGTGGGGAGAACGAGTATTACGCGATCTCCACAGGGGCTTGTCAGGGCCTCGGGATCAAAGGCTTACTTGAGGATTGGAACATCTCGTCTGCAGTGAAAGTTGCCATCAAATCGGACAGCTCGGCTGCGCGCGGGTTCGCCTCGCGCCGTGGCGTCGGCAAAATGAAGCATATTCAAACTCGGTACCTGTGGGTGCAAGAGAGAATTGCGCTGCGACGCCTTGAGCTGAGCAAGGTCGCTACTGCCGAAAATAACGCAGACATGTTAACAAAGCCATTGGCACGAAAAGAGCTCGATTACCACATGGCTGGAGTTTCACGCGTGTACCGGAAAGGGAGAGCAGCAGGGGCAAAATTGTTGCTCCGACAGCGCCGGGAATCCCCGGATACGATTTCGCAGACGCGGTATCTTCCAAGCGCTGGGAGGAGACACGCACGGAAAGCCGAACGCGGGTAGCACCGCCAGCTTGCGAGTCCAAGGCACCACTGCGCGGAAACAGTGCTTCGCGGGTAGCCCCGCGGGCAGGGAAGGATTGGCGGCGCAGCCGCGCGATGCGGGAAGCTCCGCCCAGTGTGCTGTGTACATGTGAGATGAACTTGGTTCTTCGCATTGCATGTGTTTGTATAGTGCGGTCACGCGTGGGTAGATTTGTAAATACACTACTACTAGGTGGATTTGTAGTCAATGAGGCGTTTCCAACCACAAATAGGTATGAGATGTCTCAAAGTGTGGATCGCCACAGCTCCGCTACCTTGTCTTAGCGACGTCTGAACAAGCAGACGCCTGTGTCCGGCGAGCAGGGCCGCACGCAGGCGAGGAGGGGTGATGAAATCCACCCCTTCCTTGTCCACTTTGTACTGTCATGCGCTGTTGCTTGCTTGATTGCTGCCGCAGCCCCTTTCAGCCAAAAACATCTTCAGATGCAGTATTGGGTTTTCCCCTGCCTGCCTCCGCTGAATGCATCGCATCCAGCGCGGTGCTGCGCCCGTAGATATGCTCGCCCATTGGCGTGGGGCCGGTGAAGGGGCGAGCTGTCTGGTGATTTGCTTACCGTGCACTTCGCCACCTTTCACTCGACGGCAACATCTCAGCTGCCTTGTTTGCGGTCCGCGGCGCGGTTGCTGGCTGCCCTTTCGCGACCGAGTTCATCCGAGTGAGTTCTTTGGATGGACTGGGCAGTATTCGATGGCCCCTCAACGTGAACTACTCTCTGTGCATTGACGACAACGGCTTGCACGCTGTCGGATCGTTCGATTAAGTTGTCAACGGGGTCGTCGATAGCAGTGTTCAGCTTAAGAGGGTAGTCGTCGAGGACATCGGTGCTACGTTGGCAGAGGATACGGCGCCCCTTCTGACATCAAGCAAGCCAGTTGGGCTTGCCACGCAACGTCTCGGATCTTCCCTCACTGGTTCTACGGCCAGTGCCGCTCCGAACCTGAGCGCCGACGACAGCGTCGGCAAGGCTCTTCGGCACAGGAGCCCGGGCGCCAAGGCCGAGCGCCGACGCGCTGGGGCCAAGGCCAAGGCTAAAATAATTCGAAAACTTTGCAAGACCCCTGGGGCGGAAGTGTAGGACCATTGGGGCGCCTGGATCTTTGCCGCCACCTATGCTTCCGAAATCCACGGCATCAGTGATGGAGAGCTGCTCCGTATCAGGAGAAGTTTCGCTTCTGTGTTGAATCCGAACGTTGGGGACCGTAGTTTGCCGATTTTGCTTTTCCTCGAGGAGGGCCCCGCTTGGAGCATCCAGGTTTCCTCATATCCTCAGGTGGGCGAAGGACTCATGGAATGCCAGGCTGAACGCCCACCCCTCCATCTTCAGTTTTTCACAGCTGCGCGCCGCCTTCGACAGCGCGTCCACCCTGCTCTTGAAAGCTCGGAGGTCGGTTTCTGGACCTTCTTCGGCCTTGCAGTTTTTGTTTCCCGTCGCCTCGGCTGGACTGCTAAGAATTTCGCCGCGCGGGTTACCGACCAGGGGTACGACGTTTCGTTAGTTGCGTTGTCTCCAGGTCTGTTGGGGCTTCTGCTTAGGGGCGCTGCTCTTCGCCAGCTGGAGAGGCGCATCGGCGAACGGCACTCCTTTCCCAACCGCGCCTGTTTTGACATTGCCCCTGTCTCCCTAATTAAAGTTGTGGGTAGCCCGCCTAGCTTTTAGCGGAAGAGGTTCGTTTTCGCCCCGCAGGCCAAAACTTGTTTTGACATTGCCGTCAAGCATCTACGGTCCAAGAAATACACCCCCTTGGAGAAAGGTTCCCTTCGGGCCGTAGCCTCTGGGGCCCTCTGGGCGCGTGTCTACGCCTTTCGTCTCCTCAAACATGCCCATTTGGCTGCCGACGCCGCGACATTTGGTTTCACTGGATTTGGAAATGCACTTATTTGCAAGAATAACGTTAGGAGATTCTAGGTCAAGATATCCTGGGCAACATCGGCGGACATATCGCGGACCGTAACTTGTTGTCATCGGTTACTCGAGGAGGACGTCCGCATCCAGGAGACGTCCCTCCAGGGCCTCTGCCCGAAGGGTCCTGCGTGGCCGAATGGCTCGTTGATCCCTTGAGAACGGGTTCTCGCTGGAAGGTGACATGTTCGTAGACGGCTCGTGCACGCGGTATCCCATCCGAGAGCTTTGTTGTGCCGCTTGGTGCTGCAACGCTTAAAAAACGGGGCGCGAGTGTGCCTGATTCGTTGCCTTGTCCACCCCCCCCCTCAGGCAATCCCCTCAGGCCGCTGCATGCTCAGGTTTCACGGTGTGTGTGTGTGTGATGTGTTTCACAGGCCCGTCTACGAGTTTCTCTGTTTGTGCGAGCGTTGTTAACGACCACGGCTTTGGCCCTTCTGCGCACGCCCACTTTCGGAAGGTCCACGCGGGGCGCGTCGCGCAGGCTAGAGCCGACGACGCACGCAAGTTTTTGGTGTGTATATATATATATATATGTATAAAAAGGGGTTGCCAAAGTCAAAGCGCACCTTCGCGCCGAGGCTGCGGTAGGTTTGCACCCGTTCAATCTGGGCAGCATGGAAGGGACAGACCTCCGCATCAAGTGCGTCAGTGCTTTTTTTGCAAGCTGGCGCTCAAACTTCAGCTTCGTTTCCTGCCCACAGGGGTTGTGGCGAAGTTGAGTGTGTCAAGCCTGATGCCTCGAAGGCTGCAAAGGTGGCGGCGGCCAAGTGCCACTTCTCCTGGATTGCGGGTTTGTGGAGGTGCGAAGTTTGCTGCAGAGCTTCCAGGACCTCTTTTGTCTTCAAGTTTGGCGGTCGCCCCATCCCGCCCCCGTCCAGGAAGTGCTCTGGACCCGCGTGGGGGCCCGACCTGGCCAACAGCGACGACCAACACTCGATTGTAGGTCTCGCTTGCTCTGATCATTCCATTCTTTTTATTTGCGTTCACTGTCTGGCTCAGATTTCTACGGAGTCGCCCCAGGAATCGAACCTGCGTTCGAAGCGCTGCCCTGGCCCTGGCACCATGGCCCCGTGGCAAAAATCTAAGTGGAAGAGGTTTCTGGCGGGAGTGCACCCGCAGCACAGCAAGTCACATGTCAAAGTTTTCGTCAATGATTTGCTGCATGACCGGCCCGATGGACGAGCAACGAGTGATGAGTGTTCTGCTCACGATGCCGTTGTTGCTCCTTCGGGTTCGGGGGCTCCAGGAGAGGCTCTGGCCGCGCGGGCGACGGTGTGTCCTGTGCCGTCTTCTCCTGGGGCCGCAGAACTACTGTTCGAATCCTCTGCGACAGGAGAACCTGGCGCCCAGGATCTAGACGAGGCCTCGAACTCTGAGTTTGAAGCCGAGGCAGAGGCCACCAGCCTCCTTTTCGACGAGGCGCTTCGAGCGCCGACTCTGAAGTTGCCAGACAGATAGCGAGCCGGGCGCTGCTGTCGGCCGTCGCACTGCCACCTCGTCTCAGCGCGCCGAGTTTCAGCGCGCGCGTGCGGCCCTGGCCCTCGAAGGGATCAGGCGCCGCCGCGCTTCGAGCCGAGCCAAGACAGTGCGACCTCTTTTTCTTGCCTGTTGTCCCCGATCGTGAGGGCCGCGAGCTGAGCCTCGAAGTTCTTGAGCTCCTTTGCCATTCCCCCTGGCGGTCTGTTTGCCAACGCAGAGCCTGTGGGCCCCTTGCTTGCGGGCGAACGTCACTTGGCGGCTGATCCTCCTCCGCATCCGCGGCACTTGAGCCGACTGGCTTAGTTGCCGCTTGCGCCGCCTTTGCCACAACTTGGGGCCTGGCACTGCATCTCCTTGCTGCATGCCCATGAACCTGGACAAGAGACAAGGACACGGATCGTAAAACAAGTGACCCGCAGGCACGGCACCACTTCGAAGAACGCACCGGCAATCCTCGCGAGGTCGAACTGGGTCTCCATCTTGTCAGAGGAGGAGGAGGAGGAGGAGGAGGAGGAGGAGGAGGAGGAAGCAGAAGAAGGGTGCCTTACCAACCTGGTAATTTATCGGATGCGAGATTCACGCCATAACGGTTAACCACGTTGGTCCGAGACCTGATGTTCGCCATTCCGCACCGCCCTGATCTTATCCTTTTTTTGTTCGCTCCCAGACCTGTGGGCCTGCCCAACTTGGGCACGGACTGCTTCTGGCTGGCGCCGCTGCAGTGCCTGCGGCACACCCCTGGCTTCGCAGGCGCGCTTTGCCTTCTGTTCGCGTGGCTTTGCAGTCAGGAGCGTTTGCTCAGCATGTCGCTCCGCTTGCTCTGGCCCACCACGCTTCGGTGCGACACGCTAACCAAGTCCGAGTCCCTGATCGTCAACCGAGCCTCTCCCGGCCTCCAGCCCTGCGGAGCAGAGCGACGCGCTATCAGTTCGCAGGGCGTGCCGTATCGCCGGGGTGGCCGCCGCGACACACTGAGCAAAAACTTCCGCCTGTCGGATTTGGAGGTCGGGGCGCACCAACGAGCCAGCATGGATGCCCCGAAGCGCCCCTCGATCGGCAGTCCGAGGAACATCTATAGGTGCACGTGGCGGAACTGTCGGCCCAGCTGGGTGATGTGTTCCGGGTGCCATAACCGCTGTCCAGAGGAGGGCCCGCCGATTTCGGCCAGACTTGGAGCTCCGGATGGGCCGACCCCCCCCCCCACGCGTTCCCCGTTTTTGGTTTTTGGCTTCTTGCGAGCGCTGCGGACCCAGAAATAACAGCCGCATAGAAACATGTGTTTGTTGCCTCGGGGGGCCCTCGCCGGGCCCCAGGACAGTCTAAAGACGACTCGGGATGAAAAACCTGCCCAGGAAGCAGCGACCAGACTTCGGTGTTTGGGGACAGCGTCTTGCACAAAAACAAGACGTCGCATATCTGAGAAAACTTGTTTTTCGCACCTGCCTAGAAGGACAGTGGCCGCCGCCTGCCCCAGGCCATCGGCGCGCTCGCTGCTATCCATCTTCGGAGAAGAGGCAGGGACAACCGCCACCGAGAGCCGTCCCCAGGGTGGTGGCACGCCCAAGCGTTACCGAGTACAGGACGCATCCTCGGGCATGGTACCGCCCAGGGGTCGCCCCCCCTGCCCCCCCGGACAGTTTCTCGGTGGCGGTGGTCCTTGTTTTCTCCCTTGGCGAAGGGCCCACAGGGCTCGATAGGGCGGGCCCCGTGCCCAGTCCCAGACGTACGATGTCTGGACTTGTTTATGATCCGGGGTACCTGGAAGTCCTGACCTCTCAACAGGGCCTGCTTTTCATCCTGCGTAGTTTTTCACGGCGCCGATGCCTGGCGAGGGCCCCCAGAGGCCGAAACTGGCCAAAACCTCCCGTCGCGAGCATGTCTGGGCTCTCTCCCCGGACCATTGGCCCAAAGGGGGCGGGCCCCGTGCTCGGTTCTGCTTCTGGGTCGGGCCCAGGGTGCCAGAGCGCAGCGGCAAGCGTGCGGAACCGTGGATGCCGCCGGGCCGCCCAGGCAGGCCATCGGCGCACCGCCGCCGCACCGCCGGTGCATCGCCGAGGGGGTGCGATCCGGAGCCCGATGCTCTCGATCCCGACGTCGCTGATGCAGCGTCGGTGCATCGGCGATGCGGCGCGCCGAGTTATTCAGGGGCAACGCCAGGGGGGAGACAGGCTCAGGGAGGGACGCGTCGGCCCGCAACCGCCCATTCATCGTCGGTAGGGGCCCGATGGCCTTCCTGACCCAGGCGCGTGCGGATTCGCCATCGATGGCCTATCCCCAATATATCAGTTTTCGGCAAGATATCGCCAGTTCCAGCTCGATGTTTACCTCCTGATCCGGTTCTTTCTTGTCGTCCCCCCTCACCCCAGCTACTCTGGTCCCAGTTGGGTGGTCTCCAGCATCGAGTGGATCGCCGATGCGGCGCGCCGACACCAGCTACTCCGGTCCCATTTCGGCGGTTTCGAATGTCGAGAGGGAGGGGCCCAGCAGCGACGCTGGATGCACATCGTTGGTATGGCTTAAGCGACTGGCGCAGCCGAGGGAGGAGGGAAGCAGATGGGGAGGCGAGGGGGGATGGAGTGCGCGAGGAAGAGGCGGGGGAAGGAGATGTGCAGGAGGTGGCGGAGGACAATGGGAGGAAGAGAACGCCGAGGGGGGAGAAAGAGAGTGATAGGCAGGAGGAGGAGGAGGAGGAGGAGGAGAGTAAGGAGGAGGAAGCGGGGCTTGTAGATCGCTTACGGCTTTTCTTGCGGCAGAAAGCCGGGCCAGTGTGGGTGTGGCGCAGATCATGTGCAAGTAGTAAGGCATGAGGCACCCCGCTGCGAATTGACATTTTGAAATCGCCTGGCTCCTGCCGCTTGATCTGGACTGAGTCAGATTTCGGTGAATATGAGTAAGCGGTCTTGCACGAGGTCGTGCACGAGTATGTGTCTGTTTGCGCATTCGCATTGTATTGGCGTGTGATGCGTGTATGGGTACGGTATGAGCGGGCAGCTACGGGGTTAGTCGATAGCACATAGTGCTCAATTGTATGTGCATGCACATCGGGGTACACCACAACCAGCCATCATACAGCCGCGCAGCCTTGGGCGCGATGATTGACACTTGCGAGCGTCTCTTTGTCCGTTCCTGTCTAAAGCAGTTTGGCGTCGCACCGACGTTCTCGGAGTTCAAGTATGCCTTGTGCCCTATGCGACGTCATAGACACATTCCCTGCGCGGAGCACCGCTGATCTGCTTGATGTGAACGGCTTACCCAATACTGAATTGTTGCGGTTCGATGTTCGTTGCATGGCGCAACAGACAGCAGCAGTAACGCGATAATGGGTAGGACGCACAGGGGGAAGTGTTTTTGCCGCCAGGGCTGTTCAGCGACTCTCTGCCTGCTCGTGACGTGCCAGCGGCGTCGCTGCAGGAGCTGGGGGAGCGGCAGTAGATCGTGGAGAGATCTCAGGAGCGGCGGTAGATCGTGGAGAGATCTCAGGAAGACCAGGGGGCTGTGTCTCCATGGCTAGGGCGCAATCGGCGGAACATCTTGCTGGATCTCGCCATGATTGTGGTGCTGTCTCTACACGCGTCGTTCGAGTGCTCGTGCCCCACCCACACGCGCGCACCAGAGGTGTCGGTGGATGGCTTGGCGCACGAGGCAGGCATGTGGCAGGACAGAGGGGCCCTCGGTGTTCTGGAGGCTGTTCTCTGGGGGGGGGCAAGAAACAGTATCAATGGCACGCCGCCCTGGGGAATCTATCAGCGTGTTACTGCTGAAGGAGAACCGGGCCGTCAGGAAACAACGAATGAGTAACGTGTTGACGGGCTCCCCATGGTGGCGTGTCATTGATACTCGTTTTCCTTTCCGATACTCGCTTACCTCTGGAGATCGCCTCGACGAAGTACTTGCGCCGCTGCTTTCCGCAGCCCCGTGGCGAAGCGTTTCGCAATGCCTTCACATATTGACAGGCCCCAGGGCTGATTGTCCAACGGCGTCTGTCTAGTTCAGGTTTCATCCTGCACAAATCTGTAGGGCTTCCCGAGGAGACCCTGAGACGAGAGGTCGTGATGATTGCATCTGGCTTAGCCCAGGCCAGCTAGATTAAGCTTCGCCCAGTCCTGCTAGGTCCATCTCGGCTCTGCCTAGCGTGGCCATGCGTAGCCCGCCTGGGGGGCTTCTCATGCGCGGAACGACATGCGCCGTGGATGCTTCGTTCTGGGATGCGTGGGCCGTATGCGGAAGTGCCCACGAGTGCCTTAGCCCGGACTCCTTATGCGGGGGTGGGGCAGCGACATGCCTGAATGTTTTGCCATCTTCGCTGGAGCAGCATGTGGGCGCGCCTGCTGGGACCTCAAATGGGGGCCCATGTTGGGCGAAGGAGATGCGTGAGGGGGCGGGGGGTGGGGGATTTCGTTGTGAGGGCCAGAGCGCCGACGTATCTACTGGAGCCCAGATCTGCTGGAGCCCAGGCTGGGGCCACATATGGGGGGTGGGGCGATGCCCGAAGCGCCGGAAAAATCTTGGGCCGGGCAAGGGCGGGCAATGTAGTGCGGATGCGCCCGCCAGGGCTTTCGTTCATAGTATTTCGGGGGTGTGGGCGAATTTTGGGTTCCCTGCGGGAGGTGCGGAATGCATGATCGGTTTTTCAGGCTGGGTGGGGTGGGCAGCCTCGCGCGTGCCGTTGGTTAGACCGTCAATGGGGGAGCAGAGCGGAGAACGTGAGTGGGTGGGATATTCTGGCAGGGTTGCAGTGCGCACGAAGGACGAACAGTCGAGGGCGTCCGCGACTCGATTCGGTTGGCCGCGTCGTAGCCGGCTGCGTTCATTCGGTTCAGCTCGGTTTGTTGCTTCATCGTTGCGCCTTTATTCGGCCTGTTTGTCTCAGTCGTTTTCGGCCTCGATGTCCGCCGGTTTTCGATGTTTTGCTGTCGCCGTGGACGTCTACAATTCTTGGTGGGGACAACAACTGCGCGCGCCCCTCCAAGGCCGCAGCC